TACTTGTTCAAAAAAAAAAAAAAAAAAAAAAAAAAAAAAAAAAAAAAGGGAAGAAAGAATCATGGAAGAAAAAGGTAAGCTAAAGAACAAATGGGGATGCTATTAACATAATTTTTTATTACAGCACTAAAAGAGTATATGTATAGTGATTTTCAAAAACAATTAAATAAAAATAATATTAATTATAAAATCACACACATTATATTATAAAAATTATTATATGAAAAATATTAAAGGCCTATCATTTTCGAATAAGATATGGACCATGGTATAGAGATAAAAGGCAACATGGCAATGTCATAATAGTGAGAGGGCAGAGCAAAATCCAAGTATATTATGGACTTGAGTGATCAGTAGTTGAACAGGAAGGGTCATTTTGTCCACTTATAAATAGATATTTGATGTTGAAATGATGGTTGCTTAGGTTATGAAATGAAACTCGCAAAGCGAGACAGAGAGATCTCATAAAGAGATCCGGTTCATTCTGATTAGACAAGTAATTTGTACATGAAACGAAGTGGGGTTGTTTGTAATGCATAAGCCAGTGCTATAGTAAAATGCCCCATTTTCTTTTCTGTCAAACCTAACCATATGTGGGGTTAGATTGGATGAAAATTAAAGTTTAAAAGGGACATATGCATGAGATAATAATTATATAAGCAGAAAGCAAAAGCCTAAGATTATGCTTATCTCAAGGGTTAATCTTTGGGGATTTCTTCATGTTAAACTAATGATGCTACATAAGACGGCACTTTCATACCATGATAACTCCACGACAGCTTCACCATTTCTTTGCCGGCCATGTGTCACCGTCCCTACCATTTACAGTTTAAACGCACGAACTACATGAGAAGCTGATATGTAAGATAAATCCCAAGTCCCCTTAACATGTGAGAAAAAAAATGCATTTCTTTTCATATAAAAGAGTCATACAATTGCATATGAATCTTCTCCAAAACCAAGAAACAGATAACTATTATCAGCTGAAGCCGACTAACTCTGTTAAGATATGTTCAAAATCATAAACGAAAGAAGAAAGTTTGATAATAGAGCCAACATGAAACATTCATGATTCAAATAGAGAAGTGTTTTAATCTTACATTTCATTTAAAGTGGGGAAAGTTCCTGACTGCAGATGACCCTCTGTGGTTCATAGCCTGGCCCGCATCTTTGCATTTCCAACCCTGCAGTTCGGTGGCAGCAAAATATCAGAAATTATGAAGGAACCGTAAATTAGATTCACCCACCAAATTTTAGTTACCATTGATATTATAAGGGATCCCTACTTCTTTGACATTACATTAAAATTTTTGTTGTGTCTAATAAATTGAACATTTTCTGATATCATAAGGGATCCCTACCACTAAGACATTACCTTACAATTTTTGTCATGTCTAATAAATTGAACATTTCCTATTTCAAGTAGTACTGTTTAGTGAGTTCAAGAATAGCACAAAAAGTGGAGCAGAACATTAAGGGAAAAAAAAAAAAGGTAAAGCCCCACAAAAGGTTAGAGGGCACACGCTCAAAGTAACTGGGGACATGGTGCCTCTGGTTGAAGAAGTTGGATTGAGTCGTCTACCTCCCAAGGTCAGTTCTGTCTCCCCATGATTGGGGCACTTTTGACACTTTTGCCACTTCAAGCAAAATAACCTCTACCTGGTTTTTGCAAGGAGAAAGAGTACTTTATGCTCATTTAGTACTCAAAATTATTCATCTCTGGAATATCAAATGGGAAGGATATGTTAATGAAGCAGTCAAACCAGAAATGATGTATTCATAAAATAAGATATGTGCTGGTCCGATGATGGATAAACTTGGGGATTTAGTGTCGTTCCAATTAATGTCCAAGTGTATTACAAAATACATCTACCATTTTTTTTCTAAAGAAAGAAGTACTGTAGGTGTATTTAGTTTCCTCCCATATATAGCATAAAGCTTTTCTCCCCATCAAAAGTATCTCAAACTTCCTTTCTATCAACAAACATTTCATCATCTACCAACAGAGGAAAGGTTCCAAAGTTTTCTTTCTCCCCCATGGAAACACTGGGGAAAGACAAAAGTTCCCTTGACAACTCATGCGTCATTTCTACTCTAGAGGCACCTCCATGCCCAGGTACACCACTGCAGATGGCAAACGATAAGAAACGAGAACTAGTTATTCTAGAGGAAGAAATGGAAGATCAAGAAGAAGCAAAGCCTACTCTCCTACTAGATCTGAAGCTAAATACAAGTGATTTCAATCAAGGGTTCAATCAAGAACTCAATCTTATTGATTACTTCAAAAAAGGTTCATCTCAAACTACACCAGAAACTCCACCTACAGATGCCGAACTGCGTGTTTTCTCATGCAACTATTGCCAGAGAAAATTCTATAGTTCACAAGCCCTTGGTGGGCACCAAAATGCCCACAAGAGAGAGAGGAGTCTGGCAAAAAGTGGACAAAGAGTAGCAGCACATATGGCAGCCTCGGTCAGCGCTTTTGGGCACCCATATTTTCACCACAATCATTACTCTAGCATGGCTTCTCTTCCACTACATAGCGCATATGGCAGATCTCTAGGAATCCAGCTGCACTCAGTTATCCATGAGCCTTCTCACATTTCTTCTCCTGGTTATAGAAATGTGTACGGACAACAAGGCTGGTCTAGGCCTCCTATGGACCAACAACCAACAATAGGGAGGCTAACGATGGAGAATCACCGTGCAAACGCCACAGGACCATCATCTTGGGCTGCTGTTGGGAGGCTCAACGTAGGGAGGACCCTGATGATTTCTCCCACCAATGACACAATGGAAAATTCTTGGTGGGGAGGTGGTGGTAGTTTGAGGCATACCCCAGAAGAGATACAGAAGGTTGACCTATCCCTGAAGCTATAAGTGTTATTATTTCTTTATTGAAGCATAATTGTAATTTTTTCCCTGATATGGATTTTGTTTACTCTTTCTTAATTTGGCAGCTATTTATGTATATTGGATTAGGAAATAATCTGGAGTTCTTGTGTGAGGTTTATGTGGGTCTTAGGGAGGATTTCCATCCATTTAGGATAAGAGGAGCCAGAGACGGTGGGAAGGTTTTAGAGCCCCTAAATTAAGTTTGGATTTTTCTCCAAGGTTTAATTTCCCACTTAACACCAACTTAGACTCTAAATTTTCAGGAATTGAGAACATAATGTCTAGTTGGTCATTGACCTAAGCCTTAAACCTTTCAAAATGTCAGCATCTTTATAACCAGTAAATGCAGGTGTTGCTGGCCTTTAGCATATGAGAGTTGGATGCCCTTTGCATCAATCCAAAACCTGGAATAAAACTTTGTAGAAAGGCCTCACTTCAAGTTTCCACTCATTTTGGTGACACAATGATAATTTTCTGATTATTTGGATGAGAAACTTGGCAATGATATGTTCACTTTTCTTAGTTCCTCCTTTGTACAGCTCTAAGCATCAACTTCTTGCACCATGATCCACTGCCTCTATTTCATATTTACGGTTCTAAAATTATGAGCATTTTACTTCATCAAGATTTATCTATTAAGAATTCATTCAGTGAACATCAAGAGAGTTGTAAAAGACAATGAGGTGGATTTAAATTCTAATAAGAAAATCCAATAGAAGATCTTGCAACAATGACATTTTATTCAAAGAATTTAGGAAATCTCACATTATTCACATGAAGCTTTTCGTTCCAATAAATCCCATGCAAGAAACGTCAGGAGGCCCCAAGCGACCCAATAGCTTTCAAGGCTTCCTAGAATTTCTTTGACCTGTTATATCAACATTATAAATAAGTAATGAATTAGAAGTTGAGTAACCTTATGAACTTAAATTCACCCACTGCATAGAGCTCATATAAGCAATAAACAACACAATTACATTTTTACTGATAGGGAATATGCTTTTGTCTTGTATTGAGGATCCCATGTCATTTTCACCAATTTACCCCCCGAATCTAGGAAGATCTGACTTTATGCTAATATAATAACTTATCGCATAGTTCTATCACTAAATTCATTAATAGATTTCAGTGATCAAAGGAAGTTAACAGGGCCGGTACTTAAAAATATGATATTTATAATGTCTCCTTGATTTAAAAATGAGGGAAATGGTAATACCGTAATGTATAGCGAGAATGAAGAGGATAGGTACGTCCTTTCGAACCATAACTCCAAGAAAAAACAACTTAGGTACTTGGAAAGTCCAGCTTCTGTCTACAAAAGATCTAAATGAAGACGAGAAGCAACAGTTTCTGCACCGGTCAGATGAGACCTTCAGGAAACTGTTTCCAAGAAAGAACATAAATAAACTCCTCAAGGCCTTATCCTTAATACAGCACTCATCATAACTAAATTTAATTTAAATACAGAATTTCTAATTATGAAAAATTTGACAACATTATTTTACTAAATGAAAACTGGTTCTTTCTAAGTTGATCAGTTTAGTCTTATCTGAAACACGATACACTTTACAATCAAGGCAATAAGTTCCCAAACCTAAACAAGCAACAATTACTAAAACAGCAAGACAAAGAAAAAGAAAAGCTATGTAGAATCAGTCATCATCACTTAAAGAGGTCATTAAAGCAAAAGAGGCAGTTTTATTAATCCAAAAGAAAGTATAAATTATTCTGAAATAATGGAATACAAAACAAATTATTAAAATAGACAAGAAAAAGAAATCACAAGATATCAAAATGCTGAATCATTACCAGCTAGAAAGCATGTTCTGATCAGAAAAGGAATAAGGCATGATTTACAGTGACATTAACTAAAATACAAAAATAAAAATCTTAACAGACTGCACATAGATAATCTACAATTTAGCTAAAGCCGCAGCTTCAATAAAAAAAATTAAAATAATGGGTTCAGTGAAAATACTTTAAAGGGCCTACGATCTAATGTTTAGGCCAAGTTTCACATCCAATTAAAACTGCTCAGTGCTTGACAAGACACGCGTTGACTAAGCTTTGCTCATTTCCTTACGACTCAGCAAGATGACTTTATTTACTATTTATACTCCAGAAAAAACTGGAGGAAGTACCCCATGCAACATACAAACCTGAAGAGGATTAACCTAATTTTGGTAAAAATGAGATAAATTATGCAAAACCTTTCCAAGGAAATAAACATATAGCTTGCAATCAAATGCAAACTGCTTGAAGTTTGCTACTAGCTGTATTCTGATATCTTGCAACTAGTTCTTCAAATTCCATACAGGACATAAAGCACTTTTTATCAGAATTTTAGTTGATAAGATAATTATAGAACAAATAACATGAAAAGAAAGAAAACAACATAATAAAGCAGATGATTCATGAAATGGATTTCATACAGAAATAAGATATAATCTACCAAATGCCACCTCAAACCAATATGGATTCTATAAGCCATGATCATGTCAAACCTATGGCCATACATATAGGCTATGCCAAACCACTCTTTGTGGAACTACCTTTGTCCAAATTCTAATACAGCTTCATAAAAGACCTACTAAATACAGAAGAACCTGCAATCGACAATATGCTTTCTTTGAGGCACATCAATATAAGATATTCTTAACATGTTGACAAATTCATTTAAAGGTAAATGTGTAGTCTAGATTCAAAAATCACTTGGCTCATGAGCCACACAAAATAACAAATCGAATTCATATACAGAATGCCTTGTTTTTAATATCAACCAATTCCTTGTTTCTAAATATTCAATAATTTGTGATGACATCATATCTTCAAAATATAATCCTCTAATTTAACATGCATACAAATTAATCATTCATTTAACAGAAGTATACATATACAGAAAGACAAACAACATATCCAGGTAGAAATTCCAATCTACATGAAACACGTCATTTTCTCTATCCAGTCTCCACCACATCCATAATTTTGTTTGTTTGTACCTGCAGTGGTAAGTAATGACCTTAATATTCATTGTGGCCATATTTCTTCCATTGTCCTAGCAGTCTGCCTCTTGGTTGTGCTCTGCATACCAAACTAGCTCACTGTGAACATCAAAATTATGGGTTAACATACCAAATAAGCTTAGTAGAATATTCTTTCTTTTAAGCCTTGTCAAAACAAAACAGCAAGCCATCCTACTTTCTTCCTACAGAGTTTGGGCAAGGAAGTAGATAAGCCTCATTCAGGGGGAAAAAAGGTGCTAGATAAAGGAGTCTAAAAATTTAAATTTGATTCCTTCCTGTTCAGTCCAAAAACTTCTAATTATTACATCTCATATATGTTACATATCAGATTATACCCTTTTTTTTTTTTTAATGAAGATTCTACAAAATTTGAAATTGAATAAGATTACAAATGGAAGATCTTCCAATTAAGAGAAGCAAAATACAGCATCGTTCTATGCCAGAAGCATCCATGGAGACAGCAATCTTATATCAAACAGTGCAATGACAAGCCTGACATTAGTTAGATACTTAGCATATATAGAGCCTTTAAGATATAAAACACTCCATGTCACCAGAGATTTTGCCATAGAGATTACCTTCATAATTCAACAGCTTTATTAATGAATGTTAGCATTGAAGGCCATCACGTCATGCATTCAGACAGGCATCAAGTTGGATATTATAGGGGATACATGATCCATATAGAGAAAAATCATTCTTGAGAAGCATAACAATGACCATCCATCTCAGAGGAAAATATCTCTAAATTAACAAAATCCTAAGTTAAAAAATATATACATCAAGTCATCAACTATTTTTCCACACAGGATTTGACAGTACTCAACCAATTGATAAATTCAATTCTATCACTGTTCGTCATATACTCATGTAAGAAAACAGAGAGCTCATTGTTTACCCCCCTTGCTTCTAAGTATTCACGAAGTGTCTTCTGAAGCTTCATGTTCAAATTCCTGAAGACAACAAACATATACATCCAACCAAATTCACCACCGACCCTGAAACTGCTAAAAGCCAGAACAAAGATCTTGAGAGAGAAAAAAAATGCCTCAAACGCTTAAAAAAACTCAGATTAATGTCCCAATGGGAAAACATAGATATAACCAAACCTATATAATACTGATTTTGACACCTTCCAGAAAGCAGGCAAATAATATATTGGGAAAACACACGAACAGCCATACCTGAAATCACGTCCCATGTAAGGTCCAGCTATCATCTTTTCACGCCTGAGCAAGTAAACTTTCTAAATTTCCAAAGAGTTAGGCCATGCTGAGCACCAAAACTCCAATTCATCGTGATCCTGTCCCTTGGAAATATCAACCAACAAGCTAATGTGGAGATGCACATCTTCCCCGGTGTCATCTTCTCCAGGTTTAGGAACAAACGCTCAACCGTCAAACATAGTAACGTCAATTTTAATACCTTCATTGTCTCCATATTTCCCCTTCATTGTTGTATACTGCTCTCCCGACTGATTTTGTGCAGTAAACGTGTTGAGCTTGGTAGCCGGCTATACAATCAGAAGGAAATGATTGAAATAAAAAATATCAAGCAAAAGAAAAGCAGAATCTCTTTCTCTAATCTAAGATCTCGAGTGTAAAAGACCTCTTTATAGTCCTCTTATCTCATTTTCCCGGGAAACAAACAAAGGCGGAACCATTGTCAATTTCTCATCACAGAAATCAAAGTAGAGAAGAAGCTGACAACGAGCAGTATCTGTCGTACCTGATGCGGAGGAGCATACTCCAATTGGTACTGGATTTCGTTCCGGAGGATTCTGAGAATGTTAGCTTCGAGAGGCGATTTGGAAATAACTTCAGTAGCATAAGGGTCTGGAGTGAACTAACGAGGCGACGGCCGGTGGTCGGAAACCGCCGTGCATCAAGCTTTTCGGAGAAGCAGAGAGAATTATTGTTTGCGCTGTTCGAATCATGCCAGCCATTTTCGCGCGCTTCAATTTGTAGTTTCGGTTTGGGGAATTTTTTCAAGTTTTGGTGGTTACTGAGTAGGGTTCACCGACTGCGGATTTTGCGGAATTATCGGGTAAACTGACCGGAGGAGGCTTGACTCTAGGTCCTGGGCCGGGTTGGGCAGGTCATGTTTGAGCCTATCATCTGTTTGCTCCAGCCCAAAATCATTTCTTGTAATCCAATGGGCCAGAAGTCAAGCACCCATCAGTTTCGATAGGACAGCCCGAACTAAGGTTTAGCCCAAAAAAATAAAAACCCTGTTTGATTTAATTGTCATTAATAATTGATAATTGATAAAATAATTATTATTAGTTTAAAATTAATTTATAAGTTGATTTTCCAAACATTCTAACTTCATGTTTAAGGAAAAAAATATATATATAAGTTGATAAAATCAACCAAACTAAGTATCCACTAATATTCTTTAACTATAAAACAATGATTTAGAGTTTTTTTTTTATTATGATTATTTGGAGTTAACAAATAAAGTTAAATACCTAACTTCTGTTGTGCATAAAAATATGTATTTAAAAGACAATGCTGTTTATGGCTCGTTTCATAGATTTTGTCACATTTTCATTTTATTGATGAAAATTCATGGGAAACAATAATACAATAGAAGGAATTGCTAGCATTTTTTGGGCCAGCCCCTCTTTTAAATACTATTTGCTTAGGTGTTAAAGAAAGAAAAGACATCATTTTGCTTGTTTCCTGGCATATTCCTCCTTTTCCTTTCCCTACGGCTAAAGCTATTACTTTTGGCACGAACAGAACAACTTTTTAAACGGTCTAGCAAGCACTCATGAGTCAAGGAACAAATTTTATTTTATTTTATTATTTTAAAAAAAATTATTATATCATTCAAATTATATTATATTTTATAACAAAAATTTTTAAATAAAAAATAAATTACTTAATATTAAAAAGTTCTTTGCATTTAAAGAGTCATATTATTCATTAAATTACAAAACAATATACTCTTATTTTGTAAACAACTTCTTTTGCAATCATGCTATAAACTAAAATAAAATATTTTTTAAAAATTACTTATAAAAAAATTAATTTTAAAGTGTACAAAGATTAATTAGGAAACTTTTCCACCATCAATACCAAAAGAAGAAAAAAATCATAACAAATAAATAAACAATGGCAGTTTCAGTAATTTCGGAAAACTTTTAAGGACATATTTGTCAACTAAAAAGATAATTTAAATTAATTTATCGTTTACAATACAAAATCATGAAAAAGTGAACCTAGCGAGGATAACCGACACAGTGCGTTAACTTTCGGCTTCCGGTGAACCTAAGCAAGTAAAGAAAAAGGTTTCTTTAATTTTCCCCATAAATCAGGCATTAAATTTTCAGAAAAACAAAGAATGATCTTGGATTTCCCACCCTGTCCCTGAAAATTCCCTTGATTTGCGAATACGCCACGTCCAAATCCCTCTTGCTCACTCGATCTGGGTATTTCAGTTCCTAGAAGCAAGAAAACGGAAAAAGGAGGAGAGGGAAGGGTTAGAAAATGTTTTGCAGAATGGTATTGGTGCCCCGGAAGAAGAAGGTCGGGGCAGTTCCGGTTTACTTGAATGTTTATGACTTGACTCCTATTAATGGGTATGCCTATTGGTTTGGACTTGGGATCTATCATTCTGGGGTTCAAGGTACGTTTTTTATTTTTAAAATTTTTGTTCCTGTGCTATTTTCTTTTCAATATGTTCTGTGGAAGCTGTTTATTTGGAAATTGTTTGGTTTCTGAGAAAGTAAATTGAAAGGAGAGAGAGAAAAAGAAGTGGGTTTTCAAGAAAAAGTATGTGTTTTGATCTGCTGGGAGGTTCTGAGTTTGATTCTTAAATTTCCATCTGTTTCCTTCTGTATTTGTCTGCAATACTTGAATGGACAGATGAAGTTGATGTTTGGTTAATGGGAAAGGAGTGGGTAGATGTTTGAATTTTCTGTTTTGGGATCCAGAATCAAAAAAATGAAGGAATTTTACTGCTTTCTGCACTTGCCTGTTCTCCTTTTGTTTATGCATGGCATAAGAAAAAGGAGTAGTTTTAGCTTTCTCAGATATGCCTTGTTCTGGCATCTTGAGAAAATAAACCTCTTTGCTCAGAGGTGATCAATTTTGTGACTGAAGTAGTAGTTAAGTTAGCTGAATTTTTATAGTCATTTAGACCTTGAACTAGATTCTCAGGGAAAAACGATTCTTTGCATGTTTTTCATCATCTAAAATGAGGGTAAGGTCCTCAAAAGAACTGGTTTTTAGCAATAGAGATGATGTTAGTCTATTTTTTACCTTATATTGGGTTTTGAGTTTCTTCCTTGTTTGATTCTGCTGTAGTTCATGGTGTTGAATACGGTTTTGGAGCTCACGAGCATGCAACCACTGGGGTTTTTGAAGTGGAGCCTAGGCAGTGTCCAGGTTTCAGATTTAGGAAATCCATTTTGATTGGAAGAACAGACTTAGATCAAAGAGAAGTTCGTTCCTTTATGGAGCAACTAGCTGAAGAATACTCTGGAAATACATACCATCTTATCACCAGGAACTGCAACCATTTCTGCAATGACGTGTGTCTGAAACTGACCGAGAAGCCCATTCCACGCTGGGTCAATCGCCTTGCAAGATTAGGTAAGAGCTCAATGACCAAATACCTGTCATTAGTAATCTTTTTCTACCATTTCAATTTGAGGGTCTCTAAGTTGTTTATAAGATTGAGAAATAGTATTGCACTTGGTGTTCATTGCTTCAGCATACTATTATTCCCTACATAAGAAATGGTCATAAAACAATGCACCGCAATATCTTTTGAAACTAGGAGAGGGCTAAAAGCAGAAGACTAAGAAATAAAACTTATGAAAGTTGTGATTTGAAGAAGCTTTATGAATTAATTGTGCTACATTCCAAATCCTTCATACTATAAACAACCATTCAGCAAGCCATGCTGTGATGGTGCTGTGTGTTGCATGCTGCTGAAGGAGCACTGTTTCAGCAACATTTTTTGTTGCAACTTTTTGCCACCTGGGGAAGCAGTGCCTGCCTTTTAGTAAGAATGAAACGAACCATTGATAGGTTCTAACAGTCACCTCCATGGCTTCACGGATGCACTATAGCATCTTCCACTAGTACTAATAGGCTCTCCAATTGCTGGATCCACCCTTTTTCCTGTGATTCATTTCACTTAGAAGCAAGCAGGGGAAAATAACTTGAGATTTACGTTGTTCCAGATGATTAGGTATTTTGCTAAAATTAATAAATGAAGTGGTTTATGTTGAATACACAGGTTTCTTCTGCAACTGTGTTCTTCCAGCTGGACTGAACGAGACAAAGGTACGTCAGGTAAGATCCCAAGATAGGGTTCACGAGGGAGAAAAGAAGAAGTCAAGAAGGCATCAAAGTAGCTCTTCCAGTCTACCTTCTTCCTTGGAAACGTGCCTCACGGATCAAGAGCTAAAGAAGACTAGAAAAAATCAGTGTCCTCAACAATCATCTTTACTCCATTCCTCTTCAACATCAAGTTTGCCCCTGAACCTCTGCTAGGTTTGTACTTCCAATACCTCATAGTCAAAAATAGTTGGGGGCTAACAATTGCAAATTTCCACTTCTGCCCCATACTTTATATGGTTAATCTTATATTTTCTGTTTCTCTTATATCTTCTGATGGGCATGGAAACTGTGGCTTAGAAATTGTGCAGTGTTTTTGTTTTCTAATATAAAAATGCTCTCTGCTCTTCTGTTGATAGAAAATATTTATCCTGAATAAAAGCCCCATAGATTCTTGTTCCACACAAGTTGATTGGAGAATACTTTCTTAACAACAGCAATAACAACAACAACAAGAACAACAATAACAAATAAAAAAAAATCATTTTTTTTTGTCTCTCCTTGTTTCTTGACCGTATAAACAAATCACAAGTGCCACTTGCAATGAACTAAGAACTTCATTAAACTTCAGCAAGGAACCAGAGTCTTTAGTCTTTACTGTTTCTTCCTTGTCATTTTCAAAGATTTAAGAAATTTCTTACAACCTCTGTACCAAAGCATTTTCAAGTTGCAATCCCAAGTTGCCTTGAACAAGAAACTATAAATTATCCACTTAAAAATATCTTAATTTGACAACCAAATCAAATTATTAAACGTGACAGAGTCACAGACATCAATGATTGATGCAACCTATCTTCAGCTTTTGTTCACCAGCCACTTGATGCTTCAAAAAGCAAGAAGACCACCAATTTTAAAGACTCTACATAATTTATATCATCATTAAGGTTTGTAATCAAATGTGCAAAGAAAACACATACATGCCAAACTTCCAGATAAGGCCAACTACTATTTCCAATATAATAAAAATATTAAGGGTAAACAATATTCAATGTTCCAAACCACAAGGGTCATTTTCAAAAATGGCCTCAACCTCTGTTTCCTTCTACTTGCATCCTAATCTTTTCTATCACATCCAATTATGTAGTTGCTGTTGCTCTGATCAAGTTGCATGCCAGATTTTTAGATGGATATTGCTGCGTTTCTTGCTCCCATTAGGAGAATCTCAATCATTTCAAGAGTTAAATTTCTAAAGTCTCAAACTTTTTTTTTTCAATAACAAACCCTTTCAAATCGTTTGAATTGAGTAAATTACGTCCATACTTGTCAATTTCATCTCTCAATCTCTTTTTTCCCCATGTTGGCACAATGTTGACACCAATGATGCATAATAAAGAATAAACAGATTTTGGCTTGAAGTTTTGAAATTTCACCATTACCTGCATTATCAAGGACAGTTACAATAGTTTTAATGACTGAAATCAAGAAGTTTAAGAACAAGAGTCTATTAAAAAAGAATAATGATAAATAAAGACAAAATTTAAGATTAATGATAAGCTTCATTATTTAAAATATTAAAAAGATAAATATTATTTAATAATTAATTCTTTTAGATTTATAATATTATATATTAATTATTTTAATAATATAAAATAAATTATATCATTAATTTTAAATTTTTACCTTAAAATGTTTTCCTCTCTATTATTACTTACTAAAAAAATATTGTATAATTTGTTTTTTTTGAACATTTTGTCATGGGGCCGGCTTGAACCGTTACCCTGAGGAGGGGATATAAACCTTACAAGCATGACTAGAGTCACTTGACCCGAAGGGTCAGGTTAAAAAAAATATTGTATAATTTAATTTGAAGTTCTTAATAATTTAAATAATTTAATAATTATTTTTTTCACTGAAAGTAAAAAATTTTAAATTTGACTCATATAATATATAAATAAAATAAAATAATAAATAATAAATAATTTTTTTTTGAACATGTAAATAATTATTTTTTATCATATAATCAAAATAAAAAATAATAATAATACGAGGCTTTAGGTATTTACCCAAAAATGCATTTCAGTCTTAGAAGTCAGATTGTCGGTAAAGATTGACAGAGGGTGGGATTCATTAAATGCAATTTGGGTAGGTCCAAGTCCAACAGTCAACAAATGGGAAGCACATGTAAACGTGGCAATTTTATCACCTTTTGCGGTGCCATTTCTGATGAGATACAGTACCGTAGTAAATTTGTGTTACAACAAGTACCATTTTTCTTAGTAACGGTTCAAAGAAGTAAAGCAAAATTTTTTTTTTGGCGATCCAGAGATGTCAATTTCATTTTTTTAATAATAATAGAAAGAACGAAAAATTAAAATTAAACTTATGATATATGTTATGTTATTAAATTAATTAATATATATAATATTATAAATTTTAAAAAATAAAAAATTAATTATTAAATAATATAAATTTTATTTTTTAATAATTTAAATGATCATAATATAAATTAATTTTAATTTTTAATCTTAATTTTTAATTTTTAATTTTTAATTTTTATCTTATTTATTATTATTCTTTCTTTATTAGTTACGGATAGGACCAAAGATGGTACGAAAATTAATGAAATATCCAAATAAGCCAAAAATGGCTATCGACAAACAAAAGGGGATCCCACCCCTCCTCACATGCATTTTCTTGTCCTTCCTCGGAAACAAGCAAAACAAAGTAGAAAAATTCACTTGCGCCCCTCAACTTTTAAAAAATTACTCGTTCAGCCTCTGAAGTAAATATTGTTTAGCAGATGATCCCTCCTACTTTGTGATGAAAGTAGATGCGCATTACCCTTATAAAAAAACTATTATCTAACATGGATTACGCATGACTTAAATTAGTGGAGAGAAGAGCAAATCCCTTGACATTAAGATTATCCACTATATAATAATTTTATTTTGTAATTTATACCATAAAATATACGTTTTATTTAAGTACAATTATGAATTTATAAAATGTAAAAGTAAAAAGGCAGAATACCCAAATCCACCCCCAAAGTATAGTGGCAGGAACGGATCCACCATCGAACAAAAAACGGAGACAAATCTACCTACAAAGTTTTCGATTTAGACAAATCACTCCAAATTTAACGTGTGACGTCATTTGACATCAGTAATCTGTTAATTTGACGTCATCTGACGTCAGCAATTCGTTAACGAGTTAACGAATTAACGAATTACTGATGTCAAATGGCGTCATACGTTAAATTTGGGGTGATTTGTCCAAGTCGAAAATTTTGTAGTTAGATTTGTCCTCAATTTTTGTTCGAAGGTGGATCCGTCCCTGCCACTATACTTTGGGAGTGGATTTGGGTATTTTACCGAGTAAAAATCTACACGAATCATGAAATTTAGGAGCTCAATAGCAAAAGATCAACTCTAGAACCAACATATTTTGAGCTTCAACTTCTAACTATGTACTACAAACTAAAAAGTTTTTACCACTGAATATTTTTTAACAAATACGTAGAACCTTGTACCCAACGACACTAAAATTTCAAGTAGTCTAAATCAAAGGGCCTCAGCTCTGCTAGGTCTTCTATCAAATGTTCAAACCATTGTTTTCTCAAGTTGCTTGTGCAAGGGTCTAACCGGGCAATTGTCTTGCAGGATTTCTCGCCAATAACGTCAGGAGCAAACCTATCACGATTAACTACTATAGCTAGGTACAAAAATAATTATAACAAAGAAGTAAAACATGATGTGCAAGAGAAGAAAAAGAATGCATCAATGGAAGTTTAATTGATTCTTCTCTTAATATGACAATCTGTATGGAAGATTTGATTACTATTGCTAACAACTCCGATTACAAAGAAAAAAGGTAACGCAAGTTCAAAAACTGAATTGGGTTAGATCTAACCTATACATAAAACTATCTCTTTCTATGGTTTCATGTTCCTTCTATGGCGATTTTATTCTACTATGTCCAAGAACAAATGGGTTAGTGAGAGAATTACAGCATTACCGGAAAACAGAGGATTCAGGTTTCATCCATGGAAGCGGTGGAAAGTTGTTTACTTTTTCCAGGCGTAGACCAACAGAGAGAACCCGTTGGGGCTGCTCAGTTCGGTCTCCTCCGCGCTGGCCCACTCCAGCACGGAGGAACTGCACCCTGAAGATGCTGACGACATCGAAATTGACGACGATGACGAACTCCTCGCCGACCTCAAGAAGCTGTTTCTCCTCATCTTCTTCCACTCTGTTGGGTTCATACCGATATTACTCGAGTACTGTTGCCACAGAACCACGCTATTTTTCTCATCGAAACTCCGATCTTCTTCTTCTTCTTCTTGCTCATCGGGGCTGCTATTCTCGAACTTGAACAAGAACACGGCATGCCCGTCGTTCAATTTCTGATCAAACAACCAGTTATGTACGTCCCAGGAGACCTGAATCGGAACCCCATCTACTTCAATCTTCTCATTTCCCCTGAATTTCCATTTCAGTCGCTTAATTTGCAAAACCCTCTTGTTATCGATGCTAAAACAGAGCTTCGCATCCTCATTCACCCTACAATCAATGGAAATCTCCCTGCTTTTCCCCCCGAATTTCGCCCTCGTAGAGTAAATCCTGTTTCCAAACATGTGCTCTCTTTTCAAGAGCAGAACTTGGTTTTTTTCCGGCTTCTGAGATTTCGTCCGGGAATAAGCCTGCTTGCTAGAATCCCCGATTAGAAGCGTCATCTCCCCGTTGACGACGACAGCGATGTAGAACCCAGATTCCGGTTCAGGCCCAGATCCAAATTTGGCCCTGGATAGATCCCAGAAGATATATGCATTAGGTACTGCGGTGGCGGTGAGTTTTTTAGACCCCTGTTTTTTCCAGAAGAGGAAGGGCTTGATGTGGAGGTGAAAAGAGAGAAGCGAAAAAGAAAGCGAATTTGGCAGAGACAGAGGGGAGGAATAGTGGGCGGAGGGGTGGAGGTTGAGGTGGAAGGAGTGGCCAAGGAAGGTGCTGGACCAGGTGAGGGAGAAGAGACCTAGGTGGGTATGGTAGAGGCATGTGGTGAGATTTGGCTTGCCCGGGAGTGGCGGCGGGAGGGAATCATGGAGGGTGTTGGTGGTGGCAGCCACGCGGAAGCAAGAAGGGAGAGAGGAAGATGAGGAGCGGTGATGTTGGGCAGACATCATTGCTTTTACCGGCTATGTCCGTTGCATAAGGTTTTCAATTTTCAAGGGTTTTGGGATGCCATATATATATATATATATGGGAGGCTAGTAAAAAATGGAATGACTTTAACCCAAAAAATTACCAAGGAAGTGAAAACCCGAGAGAGGGAATTTATTTAGAAAAAAGTTGACTGCAATTATTAATTGAATTTGACCAAGTATATGAACTAAATTTTGAGCCTTATGGAATTGTAAGTCATGAGGTGATTTTGAATTTGTTCTTCTTATTTTTGTTTTCAATTTGTGGGGTTTCAATAGGAGGCTCTCTTGGTTGGTGCGCCTTGTTGCCTTGACTTGGGCCAAAGTTTGAACCACAGCGATGTTGTGTTAAAATCCCCTTTCCGGCTTTCCCCAACTAAATTGTAACTTTTTATATAAAAGAAACAATATGTTAAGGTTAAAGGTATTAAAAAGTATAGCTTTTTTGTATTTCTTAGAAATTCAATGGAGACAATCATAAAAAGACTTAACTAAGTCATAACAAAATTAAGATATGAATCAAGTCTTCATTTATATAATTAAAATTCTTAAATCTCTAATTTTCTTTTCATAATTTATATTTATATTTTGTCTTATACACCCACTATAAAATGATTATATATAGTTATTTTATAAGCCAAAAAATATCATTTATGATTTTCATAACTTTTGTATGTAAACGTAAATCATCACCTATATTAATCTGTTAAATCGTATTAAATTTTTTATTCTTTATATTTTACATGAAACCTTTAATTTTATATCTTTATTTAAAATTTATCATAGGTTGTGTCAAAAACGCAAAAGACAAATGTAAAACCAAAAATTTTGAACCATCCTATACGTGAGACCCCTCCAATGATTCAAAATATTCTGCCACCATTTGTGCCACTAGGCCCCTACTTCTTTTTTTTTTCCCAATCCAAGGATCAATTTGCATATGTACATGTTCCACTAGAATAGGACGTTCCCATGTTGGTTAGTATTTTTTTCTCCGGAAGAGTAATTAATGGGGATTACCAGTGAAACACATCATGTGTAATGAATTAGGATACTGGCGCCGACCAAATGGCCATGGCCTCTAATTCAGATTTCCGACAGCCACTTGATTCCAAATTTCCAGTGCCACTGAAAAGATTTGGACATTAAACCCTCCGATTGTTCTCGACTTTCAGTACAGCCAGTCGGTGGGGTCACCAGAGCCAAGATTGCTTGCAATTTGGTAGCAGATCCATCATAGCACATCATGGATTACACTTAGCCAATTAATCACAGCTGTTAGTTGTGCATTCCAATTAATTACAAAAACACAAGAGATAACATATAATGTTTTTTTTTTCTTTTTCTTCTAAACCTTGATATCTAGAATTATACGTTGAATTTTAATTAATCTGAAATCGAGTTAAATCAGACACCATAAAATAAAAGTCTCTATATTCCTAAATAAAAGTCTCTATATTCCTAAATAAAACTCAAAAACTCAAACTCTTTTCATTCAGATTAATAACTCATTAGTAATAGTATATACTGTCAACTTACAAATTAGTTTAAATAAATTATCATTTCCTGACTCAACTAATTGAAACCCTAATTTCTAAACCAAAATCTACCTTCATTATATTCTAAGGATTGTGATGACTAACGAAATTTCTAAGAAATTGGTTTCTTTTCTACTGATTTGATGGGATTTTTTTTAGGGATTGAGACTTCTATACATTGTTAAGATGGTAAAAGGACAAAAAGATCAAAATAAAGCGTTTCAAATAATGCTTGAGATTTCTTGGAATTGTCTGAGACTCGGATTCAAATTGTCCGTTTCTCAAAGTTATACGTGCATAAAGGTAATACTAGTGAGAAGATGCATGGAAGAATGGAACGAAACAGTTGCAATTTAAGGGGGGGATGGGGGGTCAATAAGTCAGAATTGAGAACGAAGGACTTGAAAGTT